GAGAGGGACTAAGAGCTGGTGGCCAGGAGGCAGACTTGCAGAATGTGCCCTTTGGAGATGTAAATTATTACATATGCCTGAGTGGGTTTTTAAAAAGCTAAAGTGGTGTGTTTGGGGGGCGGGGGGAGATTATAATCATTGTAATGAAACAAGGTGTATAATCTGCTGAATGTAAAACTGATGATCTGCCCTATAAACTTTCACTCAATCCACAATAAAAACCTTAAAAAAAAAAGGCACTTTTATTATTAATTTGCCAAGAGGTTTTCATGGGCACAGAAATTTCCAACTACTGTTTTCTTTTATTGCTGGGCTGTTTCTATTTTATTATTATGATTATGTTTCTCCACCACCAACATAGGGAAAACCCACTTCTCCTCAGACTCAGTGCTTTATCAAGTCGGAGTGGCCTGCACGAACCCACTGCACCACTCAGTGCGGTTTCAAAGCCATTTCAGGAGCAAGGAAGGAGCAGCAGGGCAGGTAGGGCCCCCTGGAGAAGAGTCTCCAAGTGACTGCTGACTTGGGAAATGTGAGCTTCCAGGGGAGCAGACACCATCCAGACTTGAAGTGGGGCTACCAGACACTGCCCTTTCACGATCACTGAGCAGCGATAAAGCAAACCCGGAACTGAGACAGGAAGTTAGAGAGTAGAGAGGCTCTGGTCAGGTGGGGTCACTCTTTTTGCTGCTGTCCCCAAGCACAAACAGGATGAAACACTGCCCGTCGTGCACCATCCTCACACTCCACTGCTGCTGCCGATGTGCCAAGCCGTCTCGTTGGGGGTCTTTCTCTTTTTCACTGACCCTCCACTTTATCAAGCATGACATCCTTCACCAGGGACTGGTCCCTTCCGATAACATGTCCAAAATGTGACACACCCTGGCGTCTAAGGAGCGTTTGGGCTGTACTTCTTCCATCATAGATTTGTTTGTCCTTCTAGTAGTCCGTGGTGCTTTCAATATTCTTCTACAGCATAACTCAAATGCATCAATTCTTTGTCTTTATTCACTGTCTAACTTTCACATGCATACGAGGCTACAGAAAACACCATGGCTTGAGTCAGGTGCACTTCAGTCCTCAAACTGATGTCTTCGCTTTTAAACATTTGAAAGAGGTCTTGTGTACCAGATGTGTCTAATGAAATATGTCAATTGATTTCTTCACTGCTGCCTCATTGAGTGTTGACAGTGGATCCAAGAAAATTCTTTGACAACTTGAATCTTTTCTCCACTTATAATGTTATCGTAGTGGTTACGAATCGGGCTGCAAGCCGCAAGGTCAGCCAGCTGTTCCGCGGGAGAAGAAGATGAGGCTTTCTGCTCCCGTAAAGATTTACAGCCTCGGAAACCCTGTACAGGGTCATTATGACTCGGAACCAACTCCGGCACATAATAACAACAACGTTATTTATTGGTCCAGTGTTGAGAATTTCTGTTTTCTTTACATTGGGGTGCAACTTATACTGAAGGCTATGGTTTTTAATCTTCATCAGTATGTATTTTTAAGTCCTCTTCACTTTCAAAAAAAACAAGGTTGTATCATCTGCACATCACAGGTTATTAATGAGCCTTCCTCTAATCCGGATGCCACATTCTTCATATAATCCAACTTCTTGGATTATTTGATTAGCACACAGTTTAAAAAAGAATGATGAAAGAATACAACTCCGATGCACAGTTTAACTAATTTTAAACTATTCAGTGTCCCCTTGTTCTGTTCATATGACTGCCTACTGGTCTGTATACACAACTAAGTGTTCTGGAATTCTCATACTCTGCAATGTTACCCATAGGTTGTTGTGATTCACACAGTCTAAAGTCTTTGCATAGTTAATAAAGTACAGGTAAACATCTTTCTGGTATTTTCTGCTTTCAGCCAAGATCCACATACAGTCAGCATTGTTACTGTTAGAACTCGTTCCATGTCCTCATCTGAATCCAGTTTAAATCTCTGGCAATTCTCTGTCAATATACTGGTCTTCGATCATTAGTGTCTAACACATCAAATCTGTTCTTGATATGATTTCTAAATTCAGGTTGGGTATGTTCAAGGTCAAATTTTGGCTCTCATGGACTTGTTTTAATTTTCTTCAGCTTCAGCCTGAGGTTGCATATGAGCAACTGGTGATCTGTTTCACAGTCAGTCCCTGGCCTTCTTTTAGTAAACGATATGGAACTTTCCTACCGTCTCTTCCCATAGATCTTGTCGATTTGATTTCTGTGAATTCTACCTAGTGAGGACCATGTGTATAGTCATCTTTTATGTTGTTTACAAAAGATATTTGAAATGAGAAAGTCATTGGTCTTGCAAAATCTCCAGCATTGTTTCTATCACTAAGGCTATATTTTTCAACTACTGATATTTCTTCTTTGTTTCCAACCTTTGCATTCCAATCACTAGTAATTATCAATACATCTTGACTGCATGCTTCATCAATTTCAGACCGAAGAAGTTGGGAGAATTCTTCAATTTCATCATCACTGGCTTTAATGGTTTGTGGGTAAATTTGAGTAATAGTGGTATTAACTGGTCTGCCTTGTTGTTGTTAGGTGCCATCGAGTCAGCACCGACTCACAGCAACCTTATGCAGAGCAGAACGAAACACTGCCCGGTCCTGGGCCAACCTCACAATTGTTGCCACGCTTGAGTCCATCGATGCTGCCACTTGGCCAATCCATCTCGTTGGGGTTCTTCGTTGCTTTCTCTGACCCTCCACCTCACATATAGATATTATCCTATCACAGACTATGCTGTACTTCAAGATAGTTGAAATGTTCTTTTTGATAATACATGTGACACCATGTTTCTTCAATTTGTCATTCCCAGCATAGTAAATCACGTGATTGTCCGATTCAAAATGGCCAGTGTATCAGTCCATTTCAGCTCACGAATGACTAGGATATCGATGCTTATACTAGCTTACAAAGTTCTTCAAACTAGTTTTCTGCACAGTTCAGGCAGACGATGAAGGCTTACGTAGTAGAACTGATAATACTAAGTGATTCAATTTCCACATTTTCAACTTCCAAGGGTATCCTCCTCTCCAAGCACACTCAGCGCCTACCTAGTGGCTATCACAAAACAGGCCTTAATAAGCATGTGCTACATAGCGCTGCGCTCTCCACCCCTCCACTTCACTCTTTCAGGAGAGAAGGGTCTCAGAAGAGGAGATAAAACATTTTCACTCCTTACTTTTATATTCAACCAAAATCTGTAAACAATTCAACAAACTTCTTTAAAATCCTAATGGAAATCTGAGGTACTGGGGAATGGAGAAAAAGAACATCAGTCATTCCTGCACGCCCTCGAAGTCCTCACCAAGAGGACACTTAAATGACTGCCAGCTGTCTACCTCTGCAGCAGCATGTTTCCGGAGGCCTCGTGCTATCGGCTTCATGAGCTGCAGTGCCCTTGGATGTGAAACCATAAAGAGCCATCTACAAGTCTGAGTCCACCTCCCTCAGGGAACCACCACTGAGAGGAGGGCAGCCCACTGACCAGGTGCACTGCGCTGTCTTTCAACTTCTGTGTGCAAGAAATTGCTTTCCCAGTACCTGGGTGATGAGTCAGAATTCTGATGTGCCTGCAGCCTGTTGGGGACCCCAGGGATATGAGCACAGACTTCGGGGGTTATGCTCTTCAACACACCCGCCTATGAGTCACCGGGCTTGAGACTCCAGGGCAGCTACATAAACCATGATGTAGGAGGAGCAAAGGCAAGCTTACGTGGGCCGGCGCGTCTCAAGTAATGTCAGCAGTATCTGGATCACACTAACGATGGCCGATTCTGTTTTCTCCTTGTGGAAAAGATTTGACAGCAGCTGCTCTATGATTTCTTGCCTAGGGAAGGAAACAAAACAAGTCAAGTCCCAACTGCAACGCCACGTTAACACTAACGGCTTCAAAGGAAAAGGTCCTGGTAAAGACAGACAAGTGCTACAAACAAGTTCACCCTCACTGGGGCAGGCTGCTTTTATATTTTATTTTTCACTGAATTATTAACGTTGGCAAATGATTCTGTTTATATAAATATGAGAACTCATATATATATGAGAGGGCTTCAAAATGGTCATGGAACAATAAATTCCAAGAGAATAGCATTCTCCTACAACCTTTCAGAAGCTCTCTCATATATGTGTGTAGTTATTTTGTTGTTGTTAAGTGTCGGTGAGTTGGTTCTGACACATAAGCCCATACAGGGTTTCCGAGGAGTAGCTGGTGGATTTGAACTGTCAACCTTGCAGTTAGCAGTCCACTGCTTATCCTACAGTGCTACACCAGGGCTGTTATTGTTGTTAAGTGCCATCGAGTCAGTTTTGACCCACAGCAACCCTGTACAGGGTTTCCAAGGAGGGGCTGGCGAGCTTGAACTGTCAACCTTGCATTGCAAACGGCTTTACAGTCTGGCACATTAACCCATAGTGCCAGCCCAGGGCTCTGTAGGTACATTTTATACACACACACACACACACACACACACACACACACACACACACACACCCTACCTAGTCCCCTCAGCAAAGTCATCTGGGCCTTGCTTTCCTTTGCCACTCTTGTGCAGAGCCAAGAACTCTATCAAGCCTGGGAGCTTCCCTTCCCTTTCAGGTGGGGTGAGGGTGGTGGCTGGGAGAGTAGAAAGATTTAGAACCCTTCACCTGCACAAAAGGAAAAATTTTCTCCAAAAGCCTAATTGTAGCTCACCAATGTTTCCATCAATGTGTGATGGACAAAGAGCTAAAACAGGTTGAAAAAGACATTGTTACATCTTATTCAACAACTGAAGTTCAAAAAACCAAACTGAGGTAGCGCCTTTGAACTGCTGCCTGCATTTGCTCCTCCCGGCCCCCCCATGTCTGCTTGACATACTCAGCTAATGAAGAAACATGTTGAGTAATAATCCATCAGCTACACTTATAGGGCTGTTGTGAAGAGTCCCCGTCCCACCACCCGATTCCTTAGGCTCTCCGTGGCTCCTGGATTCCACGTGCACTAAGAGACTAAAAGCCTCCCTGAGGGTGTCCATAGAGCTGGACTGTCTGTCGCTGGGTGTTCAGTTGGCAAAAATGCCAGCTCCCCACCCCCCAGAGGCAACTGAGCTTCATGGTTCCAGAATACCCTGGACCAGCCTCTTGCAGTTGAGGGTAGGCAAAAATAAATCCAGCATAAGGCCTAACTTCAGAGGCCCCCTTGCAAGAAGTTTTCATGTCATCACAGCCCAGCATGACAATTGGTCTCGAAGGAAAACCACCTCAGAAGTCCTTCAACGCTGGGCCGTCGACCGAGTAGCAGACTGGAATTAAGTTCTGGGAGACAGATTGCCTTTTGCAATGCAGAGGGCACAGTGAGGATCAGTCTGTCCCACCACACAGTGGCCCCATCTTAGGTGGGGGGTGCTGCCTTACCACAGAGCCCAAGCACATGTCCACAATACTGCTGCCCACTGGGAGGGGCAATCCAAGAGGACTCAGCCATTTCCTGGCCACATTAGAGTGAAGTCTGTCCGTACCCACGAACAATGGGTGAAAACAACGGGATAAGCAGCCAATGTCTGATAGACAAAACTTAACAACACAGTAGCTATGTGGTGTCCCGTGTCTTACCTAAACATACACACATCACCAAGGACAGAACAGAAAACAAACATACTGAGCTTACTAAAAGGAGAAAAGTAATGCCTGCTTTCAGTCTTGAAAGAGCAAGGTTTCAACATTCAAGAAACACACGTACACTGTCAAATGCAAAGCAGGGCGCGCCTGGAGGAGCTGCGGTCCAACTCGCCATGTGAGCAGTCATCCTAAATTGCAAAGCACGCATTGCATTTCAAGACTTTGTACAGGACAAAGAAACACAACAATGCAGAGCAGCCCGTTAAAAATGTTTACAAAGACTGCATGAAATATTGTTTTGAATGTACTGGATTAAACAAAATATCTGAAAATCAGTTTCACCTTTTTAAAGCATGTTTAATGTGTCTAGTAAAAAACCTGACCTCACACGTGGTCTGTACACTGTGTCCATTGCACAGCACTGCGGTGACGCCTAGGGAGTCACCGTTTCCTAAGCTACTCACACACGGTTCCACCGAATCACAGTACAACTGCTAATGTTTCCACGGGGAATGTCTACTTGTTTGAAGTGTGTGCCTGTTAGGACATCAGAATATTGAAAGGGACAGGAAACGGGACATTTACTCCGAAGCTGATCATCACGTCAAATTTAGCTACCTCAGAGACTCACCCTCCTTCCTAGTCTACCTCCTGGGAAATACAACTTCCCTTCTCCAAAGAGAAAGAGAAGTTACAACAAGATGGCTTGTCTCTCTCAACTTGTTCCTTGTCTGTCCCCTACTTGCCAAGGAAATCGCACAGCAGTGTTTCTTACTGAAAGGGCTTTCCTGGGAGTGGAGCCTCAATACATAGGACTGAGAGAGGGCTGACGAAGTCACTACCAGTATTTGACAGTGTTAAACCCCAGAAGAGTAACCATGTCAGGAACGGAAGCAAACCTATCCTTCATACTTCACTCGAGAGTTCAAGTTGTGTGTTAACTTGGCTGGGCCAGGAGCTCAATGGCTTGGCAGTTACAAAGTAGGAATCCCCATGATGAGCTGGACTAGAATCGTCTCCCTGGTGAGATCTGCTCTGAGCAGTCAATGCACTGACAGTGCTTTGGGGCTGTGATCTGTTTTCACTATACTGGACATCCAGGCAAAGCTGGCTGGCTTTCTGCTGGGTCTGGATTCTGCAGCTGGCTCAGCATCTGACTTCCAGTTCTTTGGGCTTGAGCCAGCAGCCTGCAGTATTGTGTGCCGATCCTGGCCGATGCTGGCATTGGATTAGATTCATTTTCAGCCAGAAGCCTGCCTTATGACAGGCCGATCTTGGAATCCTTGGACACACAGACTTGGCACTTGCCCACCTCTACACTGATGTGAGCAATTTCCTCTACATAAACCTCTCTGTGTGTGTGTGTGTTTACAAATACAGAAGGTTCACTGTTTTGCTTCTCTAGTGAACCCAGTCTAAGACAGCAGTGCTAACTGCACTTACCAAGGCAGAGGCGGAAGTGCCCGGCTGTCTCCCCTACCATCACCCTCAGCTGTCTGGACACAGCCTGGTTTAGCTCTCCTGGGCTGTGGTAACAAATAGCATGAGTGGGAGGGTGGAACAGCCAGGAGGTTAGAAGTCCTAATACAGGGTGGGAGCTCTATGGGAAGGTGTTTTCTCTTTGTCAGCTGTGGAGGATGATCCATGGCTCTAGTTTTGCTCCTGGCTGACCTTTATATGGTTTGAGGTCTCTCTTCCTCCATTTCTGCTTACTAACTTGTGCTTAGAGTCCTGGTGTGGTCCTGCAGGATATAAGTTCAGGACCCCAACATCTGTCTGAACGACAAGGCCGGCAGTATCAGAACTCCTATACTGGGTCCCTATGAGTTAGCCCTAACAAGAACAGGCTGTGTTTAATCTGTTGCATATTTTAAAGGAGACTGACTCAAACGGCCCCTTCCAGGAAGCCTGTCTCATTAATGTAACGAAGACAACCCACTGGATACTAGTTACAGGCATTGTGTTTAGCCACTTCAACAACAAATACTGCATTTTTACACAAGTAACAGCCTATACAGGGTCACTCTGATAGCAGAGTGGTTATGAGAATTGGCCTACTAACCCCAAGGTCAGCAGTTTGAAACTATCAGTGGTTCTGTGGGAGAAAGATGAGCTTTTCTGTTCCTGTACACAGGGTCGCTATAACCACCACTAACACCACAGCATCCTATGAGTCAGAACTCAAGGACACTTAACAACAACAGTTTTTTGCACACAGCCCTCTCACCTGTTCGTTTCCTGTACATATTACATGCGTATGCATATTATAGGTGAGGGTATTATATACAGGAAAATACAGTATTCTCAGGAACACAGGTCAAATTGTTGTTGTTATGAAAGTGCCATTGAGTCAGTTCCGACTCACAGCGATCCTGTAGAAGGTTTCTGAGGCTGTAATCTTTGTGAGATCAGAAAGCCTCACCATTCTCCCACAGAGTGCAGCAAGTGGGCTAGAACCACCAACCTTGTGGTAAGCAGTCCAGTGCTGATCCTACAAAGCCACTGCACTCCTCCAGGTCAAATGAGTCTTTTCATTTCAAAATGAAATAAATATGCCCACGCTGAAAGTGGATGAATCCAGAAAAACTACTATGCACAGGCTGTCTGTTTCCAAACTCCCAGATTATACCGTCTCTGAAGAATGAGGCAAAAGCTGTACAAAGATACAAAGGGCTGCATACCACGTCTGAAGAAACAGACCCTTCAAACCAAGTCTGGAGGTTCAGCAGCAAGGGTGTCTACACCTCGAGTAGAATGTCTGATAAAAACTGCTGCTGAAACATGGGTCAGCTTAATTCAATCCTTTCCCCATCAAAGGGCCTTCCAAAGCAACGAGAACAGTTATACCATGACTGCTGAATCTTGTGGTGACTCGAGAGAACACATGCAAGTAGGAAGAAAGATGTCAGGCTGTCACCTTCTGACCCTGTGCGTCTCTACTGGGATCAGAGATCGGCAAATTTCCTTTCACACCTTCCCATCCACCCAAGGTTATTTCCAGGGAGACGATTCTAACAGGTTAAGAAATACTTACCAGCAGCTCACCAGGGGAGCAGCAAGATTTAAAACAAAACAAAAGCAGCAGAACATAGCGGCAAACATACTTTTCTAGAGTGGCGAGCAGGGGATCTGGTTCTGCACTGTTCTGAATTTGTAACATCTGGTCTCTGCTCAAACGAATAATTTCACAGAGCGACTGAGATGCATTTGAATGCCGCTATAAGAAAAAAATGAACAATTGTAACTATAAAACACATAAGAGATTACATTTATCATAGAAAATTAGGATACTTATAATGACTGAAATAACACTAATTAGCAGCAGCTGTCAGCTGAGTTCTGGTATGACACTACAGGATAAGCACCAGGCTGCTAACTGCAAGGTCGACAGTTCAAACCCACCAGTTGCTCCTAGAAAACCCTATACATGGTGGCTATGAGTCAGAACTGACTCAATGACACTTAACAACAGTAACAACAGTAAGCTTCGATGACTTCAAAGTTAGCCCAAAGGAAATATCTGCATCAGAACAATCACCTTCCCTGAATACCAACACATAGAGCTGTTACTCTGGGCAGGAAGGTGGGACCAAAATTCTGATAATTCTGGTAATTTTTTCTAGCTGCATGTTGTTGCTGTTGTTAAGTGCCGTTGAGTCGGTTCCGACCCATAGCGACCCTGTACAGGGTTTCCGAGGGTGTAAATCTTTACGGGAGTAGAAAGCCTCATCTTTCTCCCGCGGAGCGGCTGGTAGTTTCGAACCGCTGACCTTAAGGTTCGCAGCCCGAACCACTACGCTACAGAAAATATATCCCTTAGCCATGTACTTTTATCAGAATACAAAGATGCGCATATTTCTGATTGAAAAACAAAACAAACCCAAGGCAGAAAGTTCTGGAATACACCATTAGGTAAGACAAAGCATTGCCCTCCAAGTACACCAAGTGCTTCTCCTCCCAGGAAAGCGCTCACATCTCAGCACCCACAGGTGCGCTCTTCTCCTGAGGTCTGTGGAACAACAGCCTTACCAGGACATCAGGACCTGTGGGCTCTCTCTCACAGCACCGCACTCACCCACCCCCACCCCTGCCCCAGGACCAAGCAAGACTGCTTCTAAGACTTTCCAGGACCGACCATCATTACGGGAGCAGCTGCTGGGTTCGAACTGCTGACCTCACAGTTAGTCCAGCACTCAAACCACTGTGCCACTAGGGCTCCATGCAGTAACAGGGCTGTCCAAAAGGCAACTTAACTCTAACAAGTCAATCAGGGAGGTGGCAAACACAGAGCTGATGTCAACAAAGCTCTGTCCTCAGAGAATGCGGGTGGAGCGGGCCTTCTCCTGGCCATCTCTTGGGGGGGGGGGAGAAGAGGCCCTGTAGACAGGGACAACACCCTAGCGCCATCTATCAGCTCTTCTGTCTAGAGCATGAGGCCAGTGCAGACCAGCCACACGGTCTCCACAGCTGACCATGTGGTCCTGGAAGGTCAGCAGCCTCACTCCCCACCCCCCGCAGCAGTCCTTCCCACCCCCATGGAACAGACACCTCCTCTCCCTCCAGAACCCAGTCAATGGCTCAGAACCACTGCCACCAGGGACACAGAGCAGCTCAGTCTTGGGGGATCACCAGCCGCTATAACAACTGTTGTGAAGTGCCATCAAATCGGTTCCAACTCATACTGACCCTATGTAGAGTTTCCCAAGGAGCAGCTGGTGGGTTTGAACTGCCAACCTTGCGGTCAACAGGCCAGCGCTATATCTTACAGATGCCCCTCCCCTTTTCTTTGGAAAGCCTGTTTTGATGAACTCCACATAGCCGAGGGTTTGAGCAGCCCAGAATGGACATCCCTCTTTGTGGGCAAGCACCTCCTTGGGCTCCATCTCGAGGGTCCCCCCTATCTTAGAGGGCTACCTGGAGGGCTGGGCCCGTGACACAGCCTGCCTCTCCCTCACCTGGACTGTCGTGTCTGCAGTGCTTGAATACTGACAACCTCACCCGGCACTGCCCGACACCAAAGGTGTCAGAACAGGGCAGCCTGGGCGCACATGCCCCAGGAGGCCTCCCTAACCCACCAGCACCCTGCATCAGGCCCCCCCTGCTCAGAGCAGGCATCACTCTGAAGCTGGGAGAGCTCTCGCCACCACAGGTGGCCACATCAGGTGAGTTACGATAGGTGTCAAGAGAACAAAGAGGTGTGGGGTAGACAGGGGTGCCAAAAGCCAGCTCTAGACAGGTGGCGCTCCAAAACCAGGGTCTGCAGGCCCATACTTCTGGAACTTTTCTGGGTACCAGCAAACAGTCACTTTTTTAATTAGCCACACCAGATTGTCACTGTCCCCCCCATGTTTGTGGATGGGCCGTGCTGCACCACAACCACACAATGTGCCCAAGAACACAAGGTCTCCTTCATGAGCCCAGCCACCAGTGCAGGGGCACTTACATCTTCCTCCTGAGCTGGATGGACAATTTCCACAAGCCTCTGGATGATCTTCTCCTCGTTTAACCACTACAAAACACGGAGAAAGTGGTGAGAGCCCAGCAAAGATGGACATTCTTGCAAACACCCACCACAGCTGAAGTGGAAGATTACAGGTGCCTAGGGACACTGACCACACAACAGAAAATGACAGGTGCTCCAAGGGAAATACCAGCAACCACAATAGCCACTCCCCGACATTCCACATCCACGTCCCAACACTCAGTGTTGGGCCAGCGCTCACACTCAGCACTGAAAGGCCTACTGACCACTTACTCAAACAGGAAGGGGCTATACTCTGAATTTCAGAAATAGTGAGAAAAGCAACTGGATAACTAAGCCACAGGGGGGACAACAAACGAAAGTACATTTCTGATTTCCTAAATCACCACAGAAAATATGGGGGCGGGAGGAGAGCCACAGACAAAGCAGGGTTGTCACCGTGTCCTGTTTGCTGGCAAAGAGCCGGCACCACGGCCACCCTAGTCTCTCTGGACCGATGTGTGAAAGGTTGCTCACTGAGTTGTTTTAGCTTTGAGGAATAAAATGATCCTGTTTTCAGATAGTGGTCTTGGGGAATTACAGGATTTCAATAAAGGGAGAGAAACTAGGGAGAAATCATTTTAAGAAAATGTTTTCTGAAAGCTAAGAGGACCCAAAGGAGCAGAGGAACCTGAGCTCCTGTCCCTTAAACTAGAACATGAAGGGACCCGACTAAGGAGAGCAATGTGGGAAACCCTCACACAATGTGGGCTTACTGTAAATGCCACCAACAGCCCCAAAGCCTTAAGGTTAAGGGAGACGGTAGGAGAGACCCAGCATGTGTGACTCCAGTCACCAGGAACACAGCAGCGAAAGGAAACCAGCCGTGACCAGGCATCAGGAGGACCCCGCACGGTAGTCATCTGGGGGAGCTTGTGAAAGGGCCAGCGCAGTGTCCTCTACAGATGACGGCAAAGCCCTATGTGGGCAAGGATGGGGGTGGGAAGGAGGACAGAGCAGGGTGACTACCAGGAGACACTGTGAGTCTGGCTAGGGTGTGAATTCATCAGTCTGTGACCCCCGTTGCCCCATCACCAGAACCAGCACTTTCACTCCAGCGCACATTGGACTCACGCCCCTGAAACAGACTTAAGACAGTCAGGAGTTTCTAAGCACCCTCCCCCAACTACACCTTTACTGTTACTAAGGAGTGGAGGAGCTACTCCTCTATTAACCACCGACCACCGTATCTTCCAGGAATGGACTTAGGCCTATGACAACGGGCCTTAAAGTCAATCCTAGAAGTCACCAAAGGAATAAATCCATTCAAGCATACCCTTTGGGGCAAAAAAATTAATTCCCAAAAGGAGATGACATTTCCCCTTATAATAACCCAAATGTACAGAGCCCCACCCACCCACCCCCTCGTCCTCCAGTCTTCCTAGAACCCCACACATCTCCTGAGGAAGACTCCTGCCACCAAAAATGTACTTCAAAGAGATCAGCTGTCCCCGGTCCCCACACTCCTGGCCTGCACTCGAAAGCACCTCTCAGTCTCAGTCTGGGTCACTTCCACTGATCAGAACCAGCCAGCCCTTCGACTCTGACTCAGAGGGACAAGGCCTGCTGCCCCTCCTACCCTGACAGACCTTCCTCTCACTCTCCTCTCTCTCTCTTTAGGCCCCTCAGATTTCCACAAAACTCATCTGCCAATAAGGTCTAAGTTTCCAGGCTGAGGTTAAGGGTGGGATGGACTGCGGAATTGTTCAGGGAAAAATGCACTGAAGGGAAAGAATGGGAGCGAAGACGAGACAGAGAGCTGGGGAAAGGCAATGGACAAGAGCCCACAAGAAACCTCCAACCTCACCTTCAGCCCCACTCCAACCTGTCCTTCCTCTGCTAACCCACAAGTGCCTCTCTCCAGTTTACAATGTGTGCCCTGAGTAATCATGGGAGGACATTAACTTCGGAAGCCAGACCTGCAGCAACTCTATTTGAACTTGTACAAAGAGAACCCTGTCAGCCAACGCCAGCCCCATGTGTGACAGGCCCTAGCCCTACTCACGTTGAGCACATCCTGCCTGGGCTGGGGGGGCTCGATGCAGGTCAGGAGCCTGAGCAGCAGGTCCATGATAGCAGAGGTGCCTATGTGCTTGATGAGAAGGTCTACAAAGTCACGCTTCGTCTTCAGGAAGCCCACAATCTACAGGGGAACAAACCAGACACGCAGAGACCTGGAGCTGGACACCTGACCACCCCACTCCCTGACCCTGACCCCAGGAATGGCAAACTCCCAATTCCTAGGATGTCAAAGCAGGAAAACAAAGGCTCCCAAATCATCCCACATTCTTTGATTGAAACACATCATAATAATGCTTTTTTTCTATTCACTTTATTAAAGAGGAGTCTATGTGTGTGTATGTAAAAACTGTAATGCACCTAGAAAGAGCAAGTGAACACTTAAGTCCATGAGACTTCACACCGAAGCACAGGATTCAGTTTCACAATCTTCATTATATTTTTAACAAGTAAGAGAAACAGCACTCCAAACATCAAGATTTCTATTTCCGTCAACGTAGCTAATGCACCTGCTACACATGGCACACTTGGGTTTCAGATGGGCAGGTCCCCTGATTTAATTTCCATGGGGAGAAAGGTGGGAGGAGATGATGATAGGCACTTGAAACCAAACCACACTTCCTGCCGCTGAGTCAGTTCAGACTCCTCGCCTCCCTGTCTAGGGCTCACAAGACTCCACTTTACAGGACAGAAAGCCTCCATGGAGCAGCTGCTGGGTTTAAACCACCGACCTTGTAGTCAGCAGCCCAGTGACTAACCCACAGTGCCACCAAGGCTCCTGACAGGCTCCGGAGGGACCTGAAACCAGTAACAGGCATCTGACTCTGCCCTCAGGGTCTCCTGTGCACAAAAGAGGGGTCCATGATGGAATGTCTGGGATGGAATGTCCACGACAGAAATCCACAGCAGAATGAATGTTCCAAGAGGGCAAGGCCAGTGTGTGACCCAGGTGAAGACAGGGAAGCACCCACAGGTGCTTCCAATACCCAATGGGAGGAGAGCTATGAGGCAGGGATGAGCAGCAGGTGGTTCCACACAACAAGGACGCCTCGTCAGAGCTGGCTTCTCTACACAAGGAGGTTACACGGGATCACCGAAGTCCTCAACATAGAATATGCAGCATGAATCACAGCTGAGTCTCACAGGAGTTTAAAAAAGCGCAACCAAGAGAAGGAAACAGTCACACATGACCAAAATCTGTCATGATTCAGTGACACAGCCAGGACCTGGAGCCTGTGATCAGCTTAATGGGACAGAGCACCTGCACCATGGGGGGGCGTTTCCAGGACTAAGTCGTCTGTCTCACCCTGAGGTGCCCTGCATAGAACACAGGGCCTAAGCCACACTGAGCAGGAACCTTCCCAGGATTCCTGGCAGCTGCATAGATCCTAACACCTCATGTCACAGGAAATCCTGAGTCCCACGGGCAATTCTCAAAGGGCAGAGACCTGTCCCTGGGCTGGTTCTCTAGTTCTCTGGTCACCAGCCACAGTGTCCAAGCCCCAGGATGACACTGCCCTTTGCTCAGATTTAACTGGGTTTTGCTACCATGGTAACACACATAATGTTGGATCTCGAGGCCCAATACATGTACTCAGAGCCCCAACAAGGTTTTAGGTGGGTTCCAGCTCTAGTGTCCACCATACATGTGGACTGAAAACCAGGTCCCACGAATTTGGGTTCACTTAACACGAAGTGAGGAGGTAGTACGTGGAGGACTGTCAGAGCCCCTCAATTCCAGCTCCCACTGCCTCTGAGGACAGGTCGGGAATCTCAGGTGGACAAGGCAGATTCCCAGCTCTACAACAAGCAGCAGCACAAGACTCTAGGAAACCAGTCCTGAGTTCTGGACTATTACAAACTTTTAGGAAGGTAATGTATAGCTCAACTGAGAGCCCGAAGGAACAGCTAAGCCTGTCTGCATACAGCAGGTACCCACTTGGCCTAGGCACAGAACACCTGAAAACAAAAACCTGCTGCCGGGTAGTCGGTTCCGACTCACAGCGAAGCTGCACAACGCAGCTGTACTGCCCCAGAGGACAGCCTTATAGAAGTAGACTGCCCTGTCTTTCTCTGGGAGAGTAAACGGTGGCTTCAAACCCCCAACCTTAGGGTTAGCAGGCAAGCACTTTAACCACTGTGCCACCAAGGCTCCTCAGACAGAACCTACTGGGCCTGAATAGCTCCCTGTCCTAGGTGTCTGCTGAGAGGAAGGAAGCAGGGTCCAGAGGGCTGACTATGTCCCGTACCCACCCCAGCTCAGGCAAGTCTGCACAGGAGCGCTGCGGCTCTGCTCGTCCCTTGGTGCCTGTTCCCATAAGTGGATTTGAATCTCCTGGCAGGCAGAGTCCTGTCCACACCAGTACTCCCTGGAGCAGTGGTCCTCCAGCTCTCACATGTGCAGGAACCATCTGGGAGGGCCATGAACGACCCGCACTGCTGGTCCCACCCTAGCGCTACCAGAATGGTTGATTCAGGAGATCTGGGGTGGGTTCCAAGAACTTGCTGCTGCTGCTGGGGCAGAGAGCACACACTGGGAACCGCTGTCCAAACAAGAGAGCCTGTGCACAGCAACATGCCAGGCACATCCGAGTTAGGAACAAAACAGAAGGAAAAAGAAGGTGCCAGGGCGGAGAGACATCAGGAAGCAAAGGGCCAGCAACAAGAAGAGGTACATGTGCAGACAGTCTGTGTTCAGATGTCCCGTTTTGGAGCAGCATCAAAATAGAAATGATCACTGTTGGTAGAAGCCCACCACCAGGCATACTGATGTGAACACTTTTTAACTGAAGCTTCATTTATGATCATCCTTAGGAAAAAACAAAATCAAAAGTCTGTAACTACATCAGACTCAGATTCCGTTCACACATCCAACCACTGAGTTGTCCCCACATGGGATCCAATGTCCTCATGCTTCTAACCCTTTGCCAGAAGAGGAACCAGAGCGTGCTAACAAATGGAGCAACATGTGAGGCGCGGAGACGGAGATCTGACAAGAGTGTATTTCCTTCATTAGTGTGTGCTCGCTCCAGTGAGCGGAGAGGACATTCAAGGTTGAAAACACAGTTCCTTTAGAGTCTGGACTTAGTATACTCAGAACCAAATTTCTGGAGAATCATCTCCTGGGAATGAGCAGCCCTAATACTTACCTTCTGGAAAACAATAATTACCTGTTCAGGTTTTCTGCTGATAAGAATACTTAGCACCTTGCTGAAGAAACTGGCAAGTAGTGGGTTCAAGGGGGAATCGTTTAGGAGGAAGCTATATAATTTCATGAGCAAGGCCTCGTCTTCTCCCAGTCTATCATTCATCTGGGAGACATCGGAAGTGAGCAGCTCACAGGATATATTTGGGTACCTAGAAGAACAGGATGCACGGGTCATCGTCTGTTATCACAGTTTCATGGCACAGATTTAAGCACACATCAGAAAGGCTTCCGGACATCTTGTGAAAACAACAAAATCTTCTGGGAATGAGAAAAATCGTTTCAATGCATTCTACCCAGATGAAAGTGAATTTTCTAATGTGTTAGAAGTCTTGCTTCTAAACCAAGTCTCAAGAAGAGCACATTTTCCCCAACAAAGCCAGCGCACCCCTAGGACTCAGGGCAGGTGGAGGAGGAAGAGTTCTGAAGGAGGCGTTTGAAGGTGACCGGGCTGCAGCATGCCTAAGCAACTGTCGGGTTCTGGTCCCAGGACACGCACTGCACACGGTACCTTGTCGGCGCCTTGCAGACAGCTGAGCAGTCGTCTCCATTTTAAAAAAAAAAATTGTTTTTTTGGGGGGTGGGCCTTGCAAATGGTCTTTTGGGGTCGTTTTGAGGGAGGTTTATCAAGTGTTCCATCTTCTCTTGATCTTGTTCAAGTAAATAACCCAACCTACTAAAGTGGTGAGCCGCCCTCAGCCTGAGTTACACGGCAGAAACTGCAGGCGGAAAATATTCTTCATGCTCCCTTCCCAGGTCTCTGGGGTTTAGCGGAGACACACAGCGAACCACCTCGCTGTCTCTCACTCCACAGGAAATAGTGGTATGCCTACTGGGGACCTGCTCACTGGCTCTTCAGACTCCATAGCTTTAGAAAGACCGGCACCCCACAGCAGACTGTCTTCTTAAAACTGGGCAGATCCTTTTTCTCACTCCTTGCTGCAAACTCCTTAGTAACCATGGAGCCTGAGCCCATCCAGCCTGCCCTCCACCTCACTGACAGGACCAGTCTCTGCACTCCCACACCTTCCTGGAAAGCTGCCAGGCTCAGCTCCAATGCTGACCATGACAGGGAGGGAGGGGGCCAATAGCTACAGGCAGCTGTGTGACCAGAGAGAGGCAGGGCCTGTGGGCAGGAGCCTGCATGGCACAGCACAAGGTGCTCTGAGGCAGAAACTCCGATTTTGAATTCCCTGCCCTATCAACTGACAACCGACCAGAGAGTCACAGACCTCAGAGGAGGAAGGCTACACACTAGGAGAGGGTCCCAAAAGGCGGCTGGGAAGGGAGGAAACCCATGGGAAGGAGGAGAACAGCAATGGCAGGTGAGCAGGCACGAGATTCCCCCGCCAGTGGCTTCCGCTATGGGTTTGTGGCTCCATGAAGATCAAGGGCCCCTCATTGATGGGACACACGAGTTCATACACTGTCCCCCCCAGGAGAGAGTAAAGCAGTGGTCAGAGGTGCAGCTTCTGGGCCACACCACTTGGTTCAAAAGCTACTTTCACTGTTCACTGTATTTTTCCACATATAATGCACCCACACAAATATCACACAATCACATAGCAATAATAAAAACCTACCATGTGAGGCTGTTTGTAAAAACTGTATAATGCAATCATTACTTGCAAAAAAGGTATGGTGCAAGCTGTGTGTCCTTGCACAAGTTACTTAACCTCTCTGGGCTTCGTTTGCAACATTAGGACAACAGTCTATCTCCTGGGAAGAGGGCCTGGTATGCACCATGCCAACTGCTTTTATTCCTCTTTAGTTTCTACTATAAAACTGCAAAAATGCTGCTATGGCAGGGGTAAGGAGTAGTTCTCAACTGGCCCAATTTGTAAATTGCTGGCAAATACAAGGCAGCCGCTCTCAATCCCGTCAGCGGCCCCCACAGCACAGCCTCCTTGCCAATTCACCCTGTCTAGCGGCCTACACCCAGGTGCTATGAAGGAATTCCAAAGCAGGGCCTTTTTCTTTTACAGTGGTATTTCTGCTGCCAAATGTGTTCCGCCTCCCTTTTTTTGTTGTGTTCCGTTTTGTTTTAAGGATACTGACCTCTGAGTTGAAGCTTTCACTGAATGCTAGTTGACAATTTTAATGGCTGGCAGAGAGCATGACGTCCTGAAGACATAAGCCACCAGCAACTTGAAAGCATTAATAAGTACGATTTCCCTGACAGCAAAATCTCCCCCAGAAATGAAAAGACGTCTGAAAAGTGGAAAAGACGGGGAGAAAGGGCAAAGGTGACTCTACTAAAAGCCACGGCTCTTCCTGTCCCATTAAAGTTACTTAACGCCATCATTAATTCTACTGAATGTAGGCAGTCAATGGCTTTGAGTGACAAGTTGAGGCGGCAGTGGTGACGGGCTCTCAGATTAGACCAGTGGCCGTTGCACCAACCCACCGTGTGCTTGGTTATCCACGGAGTCAGCGACTGGACTTTATCTACACCTCATGTCCACCAAAAACCATAGCCTGCATTTCAGTCCACAGAGGATTCGGATTTATTATTCTCAGCAATGCTATAGATGTGCTGTGTGGTCTGGGTTAGCCACAACACTGTTATCTTCCTATTTGCAATGTACAGAAAATAGCTGCCTGGAATTGTCTTACTGGTAAGAAACATGTCGCCTTTGCATGAAACCGCCTGTGTGAGTTTTCACTGACATTCATTTTTAACATCCTGCGGCTTTACGGAACTCAATTCTAATGACTGGATCTTGTCTTGACCTGTCTGTCTGTCTGTCTCGACCGACTAAACACGCGGTCAGTGGTCACAGCAGTCCTGGTGCAGGGCCAACAAGACCGCCAGGACTCTACCCCCACTTCACTTTTTCTCCCACCCCTGAGAGAACGTTGAATAGTCTTACTTGTATCTGATCTTTTCATCCATGTCTTGAGGTGGTTCTTCTATAATGAATGAGACTAAATCTTCGAGACATTCTGCTTTTAACAGAAACTCTATAAGCTTGCGATTCTGGGCCTTGCATTCCTGTAAAACATCTTCCTCGTCCATTAACTCCTTCAGTGTTACATCTTCTCTCTCTAGAAGTGTGTCTATGTGGGATGATGAGTGAAGATCGAACTTCCAAAACATGCTGCTCTAAACAAAAGCAGAGAGGGGGTTCATACAGCCTCAAGTCCACCTTTTAATTTCCCATAATGCAAATTAGTTTCTTTTATAGTCTAGAAAGACAACTTGGCCTACAGAAGCAAAATAAGTTTCATAGAAACTATACATTTTAATAAGCAAAATTAGGATTTTTTTTGCCATCTCAGCAAAAATGACAGCATATTTTTATTAATAATAAAAACAGTTTTGACTTGACAAGAGCTGAAAGAGAGAGGGAGCTGCTCCCACCAAGACAGGCGAGCCAGGAGTCGAGTGTATTCTCTGGGCCTAGGTTCCGGCGCTGTGCAGCTGTGGGACCCAAGGCACCAATGACAGCAAGGCAGAAGGAGAGCTCCATGGCATGCTGGCCTAAGATACTGAAAGGAGCCAAGGCCCTCTCCCCAGAGCTGGTACTCTGAACTTGAACTTCTAGCCTCCTAAACTGTGAAAGAATAAATTTGTTTGTTAAAAGTCAAAAGAAAGAGAGAGAGAGAGTTTTGACTTAAAAAGGCTCAAAACTGAAACTGGGGATTTTTGAACTGAGAAAGCTCAGGGAAATGGAGAGTCAGCCCCCTGTTGTGGGGAGAAGAACCCATCCTCACACAGAACTAGTCACCTTCTTGATATGTAACCCCAGCAGCCTATGAGAAGGAACGAGCCCTAAGTGTCAGGCCCTCCTCAGGACACCCAGGAAGGACACCAATCCTGCCGCAGACCAGCAGCCAGGAACTCCGACAGCACTTTGACTCGTAACTGCAAGTCTGAAAGCTGTAGAACAGGAAAACCTCTCCGACTCCCAACTAGAGAGATCACCTCTCCTCCGTTACAAGGAGAAGCATTTGAGAGTTAAAACATAAATTACTCCACAATGCCACATATACAAGGCGCTGCAAAACTTCAAAGACGACAGAATTTTCCCACAATCTCGTTGAGCCCTCTTGAATACCCTTTCCCTCCTCCCTCAACAATGAAAACAAAGTTTTCTTCCAGTTACAACTACAGAAGGTTATTTGTTACAGCTTAGGAGGAAGAAGCAGGGCTCAGCACATGCTATGAAGAGACCATTCCAAAGGCCACTTCTGACCAATGACAAGAGGCTGGCAAGCTACAACCATTCCTCTGTCAAAGCCGCTCCTTTGCTGCCAACTCCCAGACCCATCACCCCACAATGGAAACCTAGACACCAGGTGCACTTCCAGCATCACTTAGGTCCGGTATTATCACTGTCACCAAACACAGTCGGGCAGCGTGTGCTTGTGGGGAAGCTGCACTGAAGAACCCAGGTCATCTGGAGGTGACTCCTCTCGGATTTTAGTTACTGAACATCCATTTCAAAGGCACTTTTAAAAACACAGATCAGAGAGGACAGTAGATTTTGATGCTTGAGGCCGTCCCACAGCAGGTTCCTGAGGCATGTCCACATCACACAGGTGTCAACGCAGGTTTAAGGAAGGAAAGAGACCTTATTAGGAGACAATCTGGGTAAGAAGAGAACCACATGTGAAGAATACCGTCCTATGCAATGAGTGGTAGACTAGACGTTGCTCCTGTTTAAAACATCTTCAAAACGCTTCCAAAGAAACAGAGGAGCCATGGTCAGGTTAACAACCAGCAATAGGAGGACCAAGATGTGTTTCAACATGAGAAACTCCACAGTCCCATGGAAGAAGGACCCTGTGTGGGGCTAACTGGGACAGCTCATAGAACGGGGACCCTGTGTGGGGCTAACTGGGACAGCTCATAGAACGGGGACCCTGTGTGGGGCTAACTGGGACAGCTCATAGAACGGGGACCCTGTGTGGGAGCCCTTTCTTTGCACATGACCAAAGAATGCAGCATGGCTCATAACTTTGCACCTGAAGCCCAGAAACCAGGGACATCATGAAAAGGCTCCAAGGTGAACTCCTTTGAGAGGAACTGCTGACTGTTCCATCACCAGATGAACAGGAAACTGCGAAGTGACAGGAAGAACCTCACAGAATTTATAGTCTAGAATCTTCTACTCACATAAAACTATTCACATTAAACAATTTTCTATCCGACAACACTTTCTATCCAAGTACGTGCACTATACTCTGCACAACCCTAACTCAACACCCTGCTCTCAGTCACAAGGAGTTTTTTCACCTAGGACCAGCTGGACTGAAAAGCCAAAGTGTATTGGAGTCCTTGTTCAAAATGTGTGAAGCATTTCAAGATGCAGACCCCAGAGCATTAAAGCTAAAGTGTTTCTCGGCTGCGCAGGCCCATGTCAGGACACCAACCCCGTCCTACACTAGAGCTCTTCTGAGTTCCAGAGACCAAGGTGAACACTCCACACCTGTACCATGGGAGCACAGACTGTTCCAACTTAACAGCTGCCATGACCTAAACACGCAAGGTACAAACAACAAATACAGACATAGGAGAAACCCCAGAAAACACACAGGAGAGACCTCAAAACTGCAAAATGTGCTATAAACACTTCACAGCTCTTCCAAGTGTGCTATGAAGAGAATGAATATCTGAAATAAAAAACTGTGCATGATCTTATACAAAAGCATGCAATAACACATTGCCCAAATTCACATTTTACAGCCCGCCTTCAAGGTCCCGTCTCTTACCACAACGACCACCACCACGGCGCTACGAGACCAGAGCTATGTCAGCCCACCTGTCATCCCAGCCGGCACTGCTGGCAAACCACACATAGTTGTAAATCTTCCCGTAGTCACATCAAACAGTAAAAAGAAGGCAGGGAATTAACTTTAATGATAGAGCTTATTTAACCCAACACACCCAAACACTATTTCAACCAGCAAGGCTTCTGAGGGGGTACTCTGGCTTAAAATGTTATGTGTCATTTACACCTACAGTCCGTCTTTTTGGACTGGACACTTCAAGTGCCCAGGGCTCTCATGTGGCCTACAGCTGCCACAATACACAGCACAGGTCTATGAAATTATCAGTATAAGTCCTTCTTTTGGTCCTAAAATCCCCCAACACCATCTCCACTCTCTTTTCTATTTTTCCAAAACAGCCTTTTTCAACACAAGAACCAATTTGGGATGGGTGGGAAGAGGTTACAGATTATGCTTCATTCAAGAAACTATACACTACATGTTATAACTTAGGCAGGCATTCTTCAACTCAAAACACAACCATCACAAGAAAACAACAAATGTTTTAGCCTCTAAAATCAATACATTCTTGTAGGAAGAGAAGAGATGCTGTCCAGTTTTCTTTCATCTTGAAATATCAAGCAGAGGGCTGGATCTTCTACCAGGGGGGCCACAGGTCTCTCATAACTAGTTTAGCTAGAACCCAACAGCCACTCCTTAGAAACCCTATACAGAGTTGCTCTAATTCGGAACTGACTCGACCTCACACAACAAGCCACATTTAAAAATAGGTGCATGTCCCTGTGAGTTTATTGCATTTTCTAAGTGGATTCAAAGGTATTATAAGAATGGGGAAATGCCCAGGTCAATCCAATATGCTGGAAGACGATGTCTGGCTAATGTTAAATGAAGTAGAAACCCCCGCTTGTCTTGGAGAAAACTGAGCCCGTGGCCACCCACACCCTTCCTGAGTGAGCCCAACAGCTCCCCACCTGGACTTTGTCAGACGCCGCCAGGTTCACGTCCCATGCTCTGGCCACGTAACAGAGCAGGCTGGATCAGTATATCTTGAGACTTCTCCCAGACTGGGACTCAGGGCCATGGGACGTGAACCTGGCGGCGTCTGACAAGGCCCAGGTGGGGAGCTGTTGGGCTCACTCAGGAAGGGTGTGGGTGGCCACTTACTGAGCCACTGCCAAGTCCCAGGAGAAAGGATCTACAAATAGGCGAATGCAGAGTCCTGATAAGGGAGGTCCCCTCCCAGTGTTTTGTATTAGCAATGAAGGCTCCCTCTTTAACAGTAAAGCTCGAAGCCCAATAAAACAGTTACAAGAGGAAGTACCATGGACCAAAAAGCAGAATGGGGACTTCGAAGGGAGCTCTTGCTGAGGCCTAAGGAACAAGATGGCACCCCACCGCAACAGTCCTAGTCAGACCAGAGGCCCAAGCGCCCAAGACCAGACCAGTTCAAACCAGTTTATACCTGTTACACAGAGGCAATCAATATGCTTGCAGAGGAGAGACCAACACGTAAGAGGACTTCAAAAGGTTCATAGAAAAATGGAATGTAAAGTTAAGGGATTTTCCCACAGACTTTCTGAAGGCCCTTGAGTACATGCAGAGCCTGTTTCATTGTACACGGAGACTTCAGAGAGTGGAAAGGAGAATACCACAGTAGAATTCTTCCATGAACTTTCTGAAGGCCCCTCGTATTTGCACTGCACCGGCTTCTTCTACCACACAGGTCTTTCTCTTTCCTAGTTGTAATTCATAGCTTGTGTGTCATCCCAGCTTTGCTCCCAGGTCTTTGTGGAGCACGAGGAGCCACGCAGGCGTGTCTGACCCACGGTCCCTAGGCTGAGAACCAACAGTCACAAGCACAGACAACATGAAGGTACACACTTGAGTCCTAGAAAAGGAGTGCAATGGAGGGGATCCGGATGGAACAGACTTGCCACTCACTCCCTGACTGTGTGGGACCAAGGCAGATGATGGAGGGCAGCGTGACCCAGACCAGGAAAGACGTCTGAGAGGAAGACCTAGAAGCTTCAGGGAGATGGTTCAGCGTGCTGCAGAAGCCTGATTGGGAGAAGCGCATGGGAGACTACCTAGAGAAAAGGGTCACCAAGTGGCTGACCTGAAGGGAGACCGGGGAGAGCAACCAAGAGGCGACAGCAGGCAGGCTGGAGAGAGACCTAGAGAGCTGCTGCTCTCTGTCCTCCGTGCAGACAACAGGAACGGAGTGGCTGAGGTAGCACAGGCTGAGCTAGTCCACTACAGTGTGACAAAACAAATGACAAGGTGAGCTGCTGACTGTACAGATGGACTAGAGAGGGATGACCAAGCCAGTAACTTGCAGAAAACAGTCAGACTCCACAACGGCCT